ATCACCTGAATTTTGCAGCCATCTTCACCTTAATATCTACCTAAACATGATAATGGCATCAACAGCAACACTTACAAACTCCATGAGACATGTAAAAAATCAGTTTCCAGTCCCGCGCTGTATTAAAGAGTTATGCACAGGTGATTGCTCATGTCCTATTACCTCTCTTCAACTTAGTTTGGAACTCCGGTGCTCCGGCAACTGAAAATTTGCTCAGTCAGATACAACCTGACCCAACATGTCGAAAGGCAGTCCAAGCAGGGAGCCTCGGTAGCCGAGGCTCGCGGGTTTGAATCTCCTCCTCGCCGATTAACTCTCAGCCATGGATGTTGTGTTCGGTTACCAGTTAGTAGTTAACTTGTGGAATAGTACAGTACGGGCAAAAAGGGTCACAGATGGCCTAGTTTCCAAGCTTCGCCTCGCCACTACTACTACTACTAATACTACTATAGCACAAGCATTTGTAGGTCCAATAGCTTCGTAGCATGTAACGACTAAAGCAATGAAGAAGTCTGGAGCTTCGAGAACGTTTCGATCGCTTGACGGGGTAGCCAGCGTCATACGAGTATAAAGCTACAGCGTCATATACGAAACAACTACTTTCAAAGTAGACGTCTAATTTTTGCTGAGAGGAGAAACATAGCTGTGACAAATTCTCATAGGTGACGCTACGGTATCTCATGTCATCTGAGATATTTTTTTGAATGTGCGAATATAGCATTTGGTTGGGTACCTACAAGTAGGATATGTCAGTTAATGCTAACAGACAGTTCAATCTATCGTCGCAACACACTGTATATATACGGTGACGAGGAAAGGAAAAAAGAAATGAACTGTCACCTGGTAAACCGACACACATAAAATACATGTATATTGTACAGTATCACTTGTAGTATGAAAAATGCCACTGTGGTGGCCGAAATGTCGCACCGTACACAGAAATTAAAATATACCGGGTGTTTCAAATTCGACCCTCACCATTGGAAGGAGAGATATGGAGTCGATTGAACGGGGGCAAAGCTGTATATTTAGGTAAATAACAAAACACTGCTTAGAAAGTTTCGAAATTCAAAGTACTTTCGGAGAGATACAGAAAAAAGCGAATTTTCCAAAAATCGTTTTAATTTTTCCTGACTTTATTTCAGTGTCATGTTAAGTTCCTATATAAGATGGCATATCTACTATACTATATATATATAGTATTTCGAATGCCGTTTCGTCTCTTGTCCTCCAACATCAACTTCATTTTTTTCTTATGGACGCCATATTGAATTTTTGCACGGATCAATAGAGTTTTCAATTATGATTCCAAAAATGTATACAATAACATTAGCAAACCTCAGTTATTCAGACAAACAGAATTTCCTATGTAGGCCTTGACATCATAGTCACTTGTTTCGTATACCAGACCAGACCTCAAATTGAACATAGCAACAGAGCTTGTGATACTGACAAGAAAGGAAATAAATCGAACAGTGTACAGCGAAGAGTCACGATTTGCCTACAAAATAACGGACAAAATTTTGAACATATGTTATGGTTTATCTCTGCTTAGTTATATGATTATTATTGTTATTACCATCAATGAAAATTTGATTTCGTGTACAAGTTTCGCCATATCTCTCTATTTCCTTATAATTTTCGTTCCGACAACAAATTCTTGGCCAACAAAATAAATACACCACTGAATTCGAGCCTGAAAAGTCCATTTAAATGTACAAAATTCCAATACAGCGTCCATATGAAAAAACAAAGTTTGTGATGTACGTCGCAAGAAGAAACCTCGATTTGAGAGAGGAGAATACGTGGAAATTTCCCAACTAGCAAAGTAGTGCTATAAGCTTTTGGTAAAAGAACCGTTCAGCCACAAAAGCTCTCTATTGTTGTTGCCTGAAAATGAGGTGTTTAAAATATTCTTATAGCATAGTTACACAACACCTTATATGACAAATTTTTAACTGTTGCATAAACGTTTATACAACTATTTTATACGGAATATTTGCAGGTTAGTCAAAATGGTTGTGTTGTGGCATCCATGCTAACGTTTATAAAACAAACCCGAGCCTTGTTGTTTTGCTGTGCAAATTTACTACTTTAGCCAATAAATTGCTCCCAACGGAAGCACTTATACAACTGTTGTTTAGTAACTGTTAAAGGCTGTACATATGCTAAATATGTTGGTATACAACTTCACCATAACTTAACTTTCTGCTGTCATATTTTTGTTAAAATGCCATAACCAATGTTTTAAGACAAACAACGCATGCATATTGGTTAAAAAGGTTTTATCAACTGTTCAAACAGTAGATATAGATCTGGTACAAATTCTAGGTAAATCATTCGACTCTGTCAATATTTCATTTCTGACATTTGTCAAATTGTTGTATAACACCTGCAGGCAACACAAAAATATTCTAATAAACTGAAGACAACATGGACGATGCCATGAGTATAGACAACCACCCGCCATATTGGGCAAACATTTATTCCTCTATTTGATATTAAATAATTATGTTTCAGTTCGAAATTACAGATATAAAGTGATAAACATTAGTGTAATTGTGTCTAAATATAGGATTTGTGGAAGATTTAACGCAGATAAGTTCAGTTTGCCATCTTAAAAATCTAGACATACTTTTGATCATTATCAAAATATGAATCAAATACGAAGCCCATAGAAATTGCGTAACTACTTTGCACGATAATCACAATAAAATTTGCTGCGCAAGTAATAAAATAGCCCTATATCACAGTGTAGAAGTTTATCATATACCTGTGTATGAAATTCACAATGGCCGATAAGTAAGTAAACAAGATGACTGTATTGTGTTAGTTATTTATTCTTCACTTCGTCTATACAATACATAAGAAATAGTTTGGTTGCAATAAAGTAGAATCACGTAACAGAATAGTTGTATAGTTGACAAATACTGAATCTTGCACTGATGCAAATGTCCTATAGCGGCTGCAAGAGGCTTACACTTTTGTTGTATAACTGTCACCTGCAGCCCTTATACAACCTCTTAAATCACTGTAGTTCCCTATTAGGTGTGCCCATTCCGCTTGTATAGCTGTTCTAAGAGGGTTTTGCCAATGGTCTTACAGTATACAATGCTGTGTAAGGAATACTGTATAATCATTCTTGCAACTCTAATAGGAGTGATAATTGTTAGTTGGGTTATTTTGAAATCCAATCTCAAATAGAGTCAGGAAAAAATAAAAGTAATTTTGAGGTAAATCTGGCATTCGAAATAAACCACTGTCTGATAATTTCAAAGCCTACCTCGGAAATTATGTTTTTCTTTAAATATCTAAGGTTAGGTCATGTCAATGTATAGCGTATGTGTTCAATACGGCGTCATCAGAAAAAATAAAGTTGATGCAGGAGTACAAGAGTTGAGACGACGTATTGAAATTCTTATTTTGCCATTCTCTAGAGAAGAAAAATCCACAATGATCTTGTATTTAATCTTCACTTTTCTGCGTTTACCAGCTTTCCAGTTCTATAATTGTCGTGCGGTTTATTTATACGTCCTCACATTAGAGGCCACAAAATCTGAGATGCCGCATTTCCTCTGAGGCACGGTCCATTTGCGTTGTGTGTCCTGGTACTAATTAAAACGTATGAGCCTACTTGATGGATTCACGGAGGTGCCAGAATTTGCGACGGACCAAGGAATACTGTCGTTCCTTTCTATTCTGCGTCATTTCGTGCCGACAAGCTGGATTACCGGCGACTTGTCACTGCTAAGAGGTCGAAACGACGTGGATTTTACTCTCTGTGATGAGTGTGATGGCATTTGCAGGAAATAAATGCTACGCAACTAGCAAGTATATTTTATAATTTTTAACTGTCCGTGCTATTTAAAAACGAAAAGTTCCTAAAATTTTTGTTTTACAGAGCACTTTTTTCAGCAAAAATTAATTAACCAATCTTGTCTAGTGACATGCGATAAAACGGTTTTTATTTTTGTTCTCGAAAACGAGATACGGAAAAATACAAGAGGGGGAAAAGAAGTTGTATTTTTAGATGCTTAATCAAACAACAAATATTCAACTTACAGAAAAGGCAGTATCGTACATTTTTTGTGAATAATATTTGCTATGGTGCCCGGGACGCTACTGGACCTAATAACTTTAATCCATTCAGGGATAAATTCACCTCTTAATACAACAAATAATATTGCCAAAGTCAATATTTCTTAAGGTATGAATTATTTTTTTTTTGTCAATTTATCATCCTGTATCTTAAATACCCTACATTTCCGGACCCCCGTTTTTAAAACTTTTTTTCATATTATTTAACAAGGAATGACCCTCTAAAATATCTCCGTCTATTTTTCGAACACCATGTTTATGCGCATTTTACTTAACCTTAACAATCAAACCATAGGACCAGAGTACGTGTCCCAAATGGATGGGTATTAGAAATTTGTCATTACCACCTTCCAGCTCCATCATCAGATCAGGTCCATATCATAATAATATCGCATTGTCATATGAGATGTCTACCATATTGGGTTCAGAATATCATCGCTTTACTTGTTGTGCTTTGCTCATCAAACCTTTTCATTCAATACCCATATTATAAGTAATGATGAATCACCATTTTGCGGCAGCAACAATATGGGATATAGAACAACGTCATTTTGCTTGTATTTCTCTCATCTAGTTCTTTCATTTGATATCCATATCATAGGGGTTCTTATGGGAATGATAAATCGCTATTTTCTAGCATCCACCATATTTGGTACAAAATGGTGGCATTCAATCCATTTTGTACTGTCACGCGAACCAAACGTGTATACGAAATTTTAGCTCAATTACTATAGTTAAGGATGACATACTTACAGGACAAGTTTAATGAAAGCTGGTTAAAAGCTTATAAAAATCATCCCTGATCTACCTTATTTTATAATTTTATATTATTATATCATTCCATAAAGCATTGTACTAGATTTCCTTTATTTATCCTGAATTTACTATAACTTTTGTTCCAGACGGATGTTCCCAACGGTGCGAGTCTCCTTCACAGGCATCCGATCCGACCAGCGGTACGCAGTGCTCCTGGACATAGTACCTGTGGACAACAAGAGGTACCGATACGCGTATCATCGATCATCGTGGCTAGTGGCCGGCAAGGCAGATCCTCCAGCGCCCTGTAGGGTCTGCGCTCATCCTGATTCGCCCTTTACCGGGGAACAACTTAGGAAACAGGTGGTGTCCTTCGAGAAGGTCAAGTTGACGAATAATGAGATGGACAAACATGGACATGTAAGTACTAGATATCTTTTCAGCTCCGACATACGACTGCCTTTTAGTATTCACGGTAACCGACTCTGGTTAGCATCATTGCTGCTGTCGATATTCTATCAACGCCATACCTCTGAAAGAGGTTCTTTTGCTTTACTTTGATTTGTCGTCCAACGTGGAGCATGCTGATGATTGCCAGTAAGCATTCAACGGTACCGTACTTGATTGGTTGGGCGTACGGAAGCGGTAATTGTAGTTCTAAGCCACAGTGTAACAACCGAGACTTATTCGCCATCTCAAAGCCAAACTGTTGTCTCAACATATACAATGCTTTTCTTTAATGTCCCCCTCCACTTTGATTTTTTGAACGGATCAATTCAAAAAATTAAAACTTGAGGTAATGAAATTGATACGTGGATACCATATTTTAGACTAAAATTGACAGATGAAAATGTCAAGATGGCCGCTGGGCACCATCTTTGAAAAAAAATTATATGAAAACGGAGGCCTTGTGGCACATCACTTTGAAGCACCTGACGAGTACTTTATAATCCTCGAATACAAAGGCAGTATCTTTACCTACTACAAAATGCTGGTACATTTGATAATTACCTGAATACATTGACATTTAACTTGATAATTTGAATAAATACGGTGAGTTCAGTTTAGAAGATGGTAATGGTTGCCTTGAACTTCTTGACACAATAACAGCCGGTCCGTAATTTCGCGTCGAATATTTTCAAATATAGTAACATCGATTTTTCTACAAATATTTGTTATTCTCAGCCGTATATCCAATATTGAAGCAGGTTCAGTTTCGTACTCCTTTTGCTTCAAATAACCCCATAAAAAAAAGTCTAAATGTGTCAAATCTGGCGACCGGGCTGGCCATTCCACATGACCTCGACAGCCAATCCAACGACCGGAGAAATTGTTATCTAAATAATACCTAACTTGTCTGTAGTAGTGTGGTGGAGTATCATCTTGCTGGAATACAATATAAGTATTGAATTCATTAGGATTCGCTTCGACGATTTCGGTGATTAGAGGGTCAATAGTATTTTCCAGCATATCCAAATACAGTTCCCGGTTAAAGTTTGTTCGATGAATAGAGGCCCCACAATATGATTTCCCAATATCCCAGTCCAGACGTTAATTTTTTGTGGATATTGAGTATGAGTTTCCCGGAAGACGTGAGCATTGGTGACACTCCAATAACGACAATTTTGTCTATGCACATTACAGTTGAGAAAAAATGTACATTCATCACTAAAACAAATATTTTGGATATAGGTAGTATGCCGTGCAACGGTTTCCGTCTTAGTCTCGCAGAATTCTGTTCCTCGATCAGCGTCATCTTCAGTTAGCTGATTAAAAAGTCTCCATACATTAGAAGGACAAATCTCACATACATTCGCGATGGAGGAAGAAGACTGTTGGAGATTTACTATGATCTCACCAATTATTTGAACTTGCTTTTCTACCGGCATGGTCGGATGACTTGAGGGCTTTTTGTTATTTACACTACCAGTAGCTATAAATTTAGATACAAGTTCCCTTAAATATTTTCTACAGATACGACGATTCGGGAAACGATCATTAAAAATCCTTTCGGTCTCGTGAAAGTTTGAAAAAGATTTATTGTTTCAATGGACGAGAATTGACCATTTTAAAAATAGTTCAAACAGCATCTAGCACTAAAACCGAAAACTAAATAGGAATATTTTAACTGTACAATGATGTTTGTTTTCGTAGTGATATTCTTGTCACTGTCAACAAAATAACAAAACAAAGTTTTTATCGCTGTTGCTGTGGATACGGCAGGGAATTACAATTATTTGTAGAGATATGCATGTTATTAGGTTTGTGTTCAAGGAATTATTAAATGTACCACCATTTTGTATTAGGTAAAGGTGCTGACTTTATATTCTTGGGTTATAAAGTACTCGTCAGGAGCTTCAAAATGATATGCCACAAGACCCCGGTTTTCATATAATATTTTTCCAAGATGGCGCCCAGCGGCCATCTTGATATTTTCATTTGTCAATTTTACTCGAAAATATCAATTTCATTACCTCAAGTTTTAATTTTTTAAATTGATCCGTTCAAGAATTCAAAGGGGGGGGCAACGTTCGTAGTCGAGTACTGCATAATAGTCAATCGTCCCGATCATCAGAGCGTGGGCATCAAAAAACCGCATGCTGGCTTGTCGCATTGGGGGCGGGAATGGCTACGCCATGTGCTTTTCGGCTTTGCTAGATTTCCATCTTAGAATTGTAATAATGGGGTCTTGGTGAGGTACAGGACCATTCAAGTTGTTCTCCCAGCACACTGTGTAGTAATAAAGAAAAAAATAACTGCAATTGACATGGTTGCTTTTCGTCTCCTGTAATCATGACCAACCGCAGACAGTGCTGTAGCGTTGTGTCAGTGACGACACTAAATCGCAGACCAGTTGGAGTTTGTTACATATTACACAGTCGGCCGTGGCCTCCACGACTATGCACCATATTTTGAATTATGAGCACATTATACATCGGACCTTTATCATTCATCTCGTCATTACTGGAATCAGAAGCTTCTTAGTCATATAACGTCTTTGACTAATACTAAAGACGTTACATTTACAACCCCATACACCCTACAGCTCCCTGGCCCCTACAACCCCCAACTTCCAAATTTCAACATCTACAAAAAAAATTCCGAAATTGACCAGAAGCCTCTGAAATGTAAAGTTTAAGCGATTTTTATTTTTTTTTCGAGTTTTGCTTCGCTACCACTAGTCCGAGTTTCAACAACTGCAAATATTTTTCATCCTTGGCATAGTAGTAAGTTTGTGTTGAAAGTTCATGAAAATCCGAGCGGTACTTCTCAAGTTATAGGCTGTTATAAAATTAGTAGAAACACCGACAGACAGTCAGACAGACGGAAACATACAAAAAACATAATATCTCGAAATGTTTAGCGATAACAGTACTTCCTCGCCAGTTTGGCATGACCAAATCCATTAACGATTTTAAATAATTTCCACGATCCACTCTCGTAAGTATTGTTTGGATTCGGACTATCTTTTTTTTTACCCAGTGGCTATAATGTTACATACATGCATCCAATTGGCATAGGCCTCATGTATTTACCAACTTGACGAAGCCCCACATCTGTGCGTGAATCACGATATGAAGTGAATTTTTTGCTGACATTATTCGGAGTCGTCAAGAGTCCAATTATCTTATTCCAAATAAGGCTTCACGACAATGTGGCATTTTTTTGATGTATAATAATTTCACACGTATTGTGTCTCTCAGCGATTCAGTATTGGTATCTTTTGGACACTGATGTTATAGTATTATTAACGACTATCTCAGGGGTTTCCTCATAAAATATCGTTGGTCCCTCGTACAGTTGGTTTCACTCATTGGCAACCAGCGCCACCTTGTGATTTCTTTACGTACTAGCCGTATAGGGATATTTGGTCCTATCAAAATACCTTCTTCACCTATCGAGATACATTATTTCCGTATCAATATACCTATGTTTTAAAAACTTGCCTGTACAGACGTGTCCAGCGCCATTTTTCTTTTCTTTCTGCTGAGGTTTGATTGTGCGTGGGTCGCTCCGTTAGCATAAAGCTTCTGGGACTTGGACTCCGAAACACCAGATTATGGAGTAGCAATTTTTATTTGGTACCTTACGTTTAGTTGTTTTGGCTTGAGTGCTACTTCGTCCATTTTCCAATGGGATTTTAACCTTCAGCAGTAAGATCTTTTTTGTATACCATCGGAACACGTTCATGAATGCATGCCCTGAAGAAGTTTGCTCAGTATCTGCTTCCTTTTAGTGGGAACACATTGAGAAGAACCACCATTCAGACTCCTTCGGTTTTGGAGTTTTTTTTTTGGTGAAAATTTTTGTGTGAATTCTTATGGTATAAATCCTACTAATTTTTTAGCGCCAAGTTAGCACCAACATACCTCGGACCATTTATACTAAGTGACATATAAATCGGAACACCCAGTTTAAATGGTTTTATTTTAATAAAATTTTGTATAAGTACTTAATAAAGCATAATAAGTAAATGATAAAAATTTCAAAATGATTGCACTGCTTTAAAGCCCTTTGACCTTTAATAATGGGTGGATGCACCCTGATGTGCTACGCATTCTTCAACGCGCCTAGGCATGCTTCTGATCAGGTGGTCAATGTCCTCCTGTGGTATCTCATTCCAGGCAACCACCAACTCCTCTCGAAGTGCTTCTAGAGTCTGAGGAGGACGTTGCAAATTGAGCAATCTCCTACCCATCATATCCCACACGTGCTCAATTGGGGATAAGTCGGGAGATCTTGGTGGCCATGGTAACAATGTGACATCATTATGTTGAAAGAAGTCTATTGTGACTCTTGCAACATGTGGTCGGGCATTATCTTGTTGGAAAGTTGGATCTGCCAGGAGGTCAAGACAGGGTAAAAGATGGGGTTCTAGAACTTCGTGGATATAACGCTGCGCGTTCATGTTACCTCTGATGAAGATTAAAGGTGACCTGGAACCATAAGCTATAGCACCCCAAACCATAACTCCAACAGTGTGATGAACATGTGTTTCAACAAAAAACTGTGGATTCCTCCTTTCACCACGTCGCCCTCTAACCCTGGCACGACCATCTTGCATGCCTAAACAAAATCGAGACTCGTCACTAAAGACAATACTGTTCCATTCCTGATCCCAGAGTGACCGTTGTCTGCATCACTCAAGGCGATTACGTCGGTGTAAGGGTTAGAAGGCGACGTGGTGAAAGGAGGAATCCACAGTTTTTTGTTGAAAGACATGTTCATCACACTGTTGGAGTGCCCGACCACATGTTGCAAGAGTCACAATAGACTTCTTTCAACATAATGATGTCACATTGTTACCATGGCCACCAAGATCTCCCGACTTATCCCCAATTGAGCACGTGTGGGATATGATGGGTAGGAGATTGCTCAATTTGCAACGTCCTCCTCAGACTCTAGAAGTACTTCGAGAGGAGTTGGTGGTTGCCTGGAATGAGATACCACAGGAGGAAATTGACCACCTGATCAGAAGCATGCCTAGGCGCGTTGGAGAATGCGTAGCACATCAGGGTGCATCCACACATTATTAAAGGTCAAAGGGCTTTAAAGCAGTGCAATCATTTTGAAATTTTTATCATTTACTTATTATGCTTCATTAAGTACTTATACAAAATTTTATTAAAATAAAACCATTTAAACTGGGTGTTCGGATTTATATGGCACTTAGTATATAATAAGACGGAAGTATGGCTCTTGGTCGTATGAACTTCAAGACCAGCAGGGCAATCCTGAAGGCGTATGAAATGTTCAGGATTTGAAACCACATTGAGATCCATCTTCCATAGACATTACTGACGCCGAATAGCCAACATTGTTATTTACTTACCTTACCTTAGTCTGTTCAACTCCATCTAATATATTGCCCTTACTGATATCATAGTATTTCTCTCTACACATAATTCTACTTCTTTCATGACGTTGTCTTGTCTAAAGACCCTACGGGCTGGGCCAAAGAATTTGTCCTTGGCGGGAAAACTGCCGGTGGCAAAAGTCCATCATGTGTCCATATATCATCTGAGCTTCACCATCCGAACAACCTGGCTCAGATAAGTAAATCACTGCCATGTTAAGTCTTAATTGTTGGATATCCTCTTTGATTAAGCATTGTCAGTTTGATTCTTGTGTCTATAGGTTACTGGTAGCTCAACATTATTTATTATCGTCAGTTATTTGCTCTGTAGATACCCTCATACTCCAAGGAGAGGGGGGGTTGTCACGTGCCAAAATCTCGTAACCTTTTTTTACTATTTTGATCTCTTACCAGTAAATTGAATTTCTCCTTATTAACTATAGAGTACCGATTCCTAGGCCAAACCCTTTTTAATGATTTCCTTTTGGTAAATTTCATAGCTTGTTGATTGTATAATTTCACACGTATTGTGTCTTTCTTTCTCAGCGATTCGACATTGTGTTGGAACCTTTTGGACACTGATGTTGTAGTATTATTAACGACTATCTCAGGGGTTTCCTCATAAAATATCGTTGGTCCCTCATAGAGTTGGTTCCACCCATTATCAACCACCTTGTGATTTCTTTACGTACCAAGATGGCCATATTCGGAACCTCTGTCCTGAAATAATGCATTATACTGAGTTTCGTTGCCTGTGACGAAGATAAAGATTTCAGCTTGAGAAGTTTTGAACCAATAGTGAGAATTTTCAGAAAGTCTTGTCATTTGGACTGAAACCAGTTCCTTGGATATATTGGGTGCGATATTATGTCAGATTTTCGGTACTAGACCCAAGAAACCGCATTTTTCTATCCCATGTAGTGCTTCGCGACACTTTGGCATTTTTGATGATCATCTTCTAGATTAGCGTCCCAAATTAAGTCAGTTTGCTTCTGACAACAAGTGACAAACATGGAAATACCTTGATAAAATTTGATGTCCTTTAACGTCTTCGTTGAATGTTGAAAATGCAATTAATAAGCCACTTGCCTTGAGCACCGTTCATTGTTCTTGACTTATTCTGTTTTATTGTTGCAGTTAGTATTAAATTCGATGCACAAGTACCAGCCGAGGATACACTTAGTGAAAAGAAATGAAGGTGCCTCTGGAAACATCGTAGATTTAGAAAACGAAGAGTACAAAACATTCATTTTTCCAGAGACCATCTTCACCGCTGTCACTGCTTATCAAAATCAACTGGTGAGTAATTTTTTATAGTTCTCTTATACAGGCTATTCTAAAAGCTGTAACTTTCCTCTTCAAAAGCAACTGCATACCAATTAACAAAGATGATTGGCGGTCGCAGATATTTTCCCCAGGGGGTACGATTATCGGCATGAGGCACTTATTTGAAGTGTATTATCTTCCAAAACTGTATGGAAAGCGATAGATAGGAAATTTTCTCCTCCAAAACACCAAGCAAAGTGTGAAAATCTTAAGGACAACTATGGTCAAGTTGCAGCGCAAGGGTCAAAAAAGTTCCAAGCTTAAAGTTTCGGCCTATCACATGGCTTATACATACTCCTCGAAGTTGTCGCCGTTCTATTAAAAAACTCAAGATTGTTAAAGCCTTCTTCAATTCTGGACTATCTAGATATAGGTCCCTACGGCGTATGAGATAAACAAACCTACGTCCGAGGGATGAAAACGACCAGGAAAACGATCTGAATCCACTCACGAGTCAGAATCTTTAAGACACAGCTATAAAACAAATTACTGTTATAGGAGTGTGTCATTTTCAGTTTTTTCAAATCCTATTTGTAAACAAACAGGTTATAAAAAAGAAGTTGAATCTTATGAAATATTTTTATTTGCTACACTCGGGGACCGAAAAGACACATCGCATACCCGTGCTAACGCGGCATCTTTCCGAATTAACAAAGTCGGTGCGTGGGTATCCCGCCTTATTCAAAAAGATGCCGCGTTAACAAAGGCATGCGATGCGGTTTGCTACTCTCTTCCTTTTTGGTTCCCGAGTATAAAGGTTGGTCTGGATTTAATATAGATTCTTTAGAAACCTAGTAACTCGGATATATTAATGCTATGGTGTATGTGGTGCTAGGAAAATACTCATACTCATACATGAACTATATGATGTGTGAAGAAAAATCCCAATTTCGAGTACTATTTCAAGATCATGAGAAATTTTACGCGCCTCAAGATGTTTTTTTTATACCGAAGTAGCCTATCAGGTAGAAGCCTAAGTGCCAGGGCACCATGACTGCGATGAGGAGCTTGGAAAAACTTATAGGTTAGGTTGGGTTAGGTTTCTTGTGAGTGCATCAATAACGATCCTCCACTGCGAGTCTTTGGTCTATTGTGGCTCACACCTACTTATATTTCCCCCAGTAGCTCCGACCTCCTGAGAAAGTCGACCAACTTGCTTAGAGAAATATCCTTCAGGTCTTTTGCTTGTAGTACTACGTCTCCAAGTATGTTGTACCTGATTCTGGCAATTGCAGGGCCTCTGCACAATACATGCCTGACCTTTTAATCTGGCAATCTGTAATGACCAGTGTACAGTCCTACTAGAGCTTTGAGGCTATTCCTGTTCAGCCGTAGCCATAGCGTAGTAGAGTCTGTTACCTTCTTTGTCAAGATTGGTATAGTTGCCTGAGCATTTTTTTTTTTATACTCCAACTACCACGAAGGCCTAAGGCCTAAGCACCCATTGGGTACCGTGGGGCTATGGGGGATACATGGGAAAGGGGGGGACGCCACACGGACTCTGGCGAGGGAACACGTGTGCATGCAACATGCACACATTCTGGCTCCGCCTACGAGAACCGCCGGGTGGTACCTCCGCGTTCGACAGTCAGAGACCATCTACCACCTACGGACAATCACAACATCCATGGCCAAGAGAAACATTTCTCATGGGACGGGACTCGAACCCGCACAGCGCACGGCGGCTGATCAGGAGACCGAAGAGTCTACTACTGCGGCCACCGCTGCTGCCTAAAACAAACACACAACATCCATGGCGAAGGCGAGATTCGAACTCGCGGCCCGGCCGGCCGGCTGATCAGTAGCACGACACTCTGACCCACGCGGCCAACCGATTTCCCATAATTAGTTAATTGGTTAACCTTACTAATCTCTCCCAGTATTGATGGACCTTCCTGTCCATCTCTGCATAGATTATTTGTTTAGCCGTATTGTATGCGATCCCAATCCATGGCTCAAGCCCTATGAAGGGTGTGCTAGCCCCACTCCTTGCAAGAGTGTCAGCTGTCTCGTTTCCCTCTGAACCTATGTGTCCTGGTATCCATATGAGACGTTCTACGATCATTCTGGCACCCAGTTCTATAGCATATTCTGTCTGGAATATCGATGTCCAGGTTACTGGGGTAACAGATTTTTTAATCTTTAGCCTCGGCACGAAGATACCAGCTTCAGCACCTACCTCGGTCTTGGAGCCATCCGTGAATGCACAGATATCTCTACTTATCAGGGTAACTTGCCGTTTCTCACTCATTCCTGTATGGAATTGTCACTAAGTAGGGTTTAGCATACTCGTATGTTCGTCTCCTCCATTGTGATATTGTCCATTATACCATTTGCCACATGATGTAGTCTACAAGATGTCCTTCTTGCCTCGCTTTCCAGGTTTATGAGCAAGGAGGGTGAATTCAGAAGGACCTCCATAGCTGCAGTTGATGTGGTACGAAATGCACCAGTGATCAACTTGCAAGCTCTCTCTGTATTGCGCTCAGTTTGGCTTGAACAGTTCTTTGTGGTGCCTTGCCCCACCAAAAACTCTTAATCAGATTTTTGGACTGCCTAAGGACAGTAGAACTGGCAAAAGCTGCTTCACAATTTCGATATCCTGGGAACAAAGGAGCGATCTTATCGGCCAGCACTGAATGTACAAAGTTCGTCACGGTTAGGATGGGAGGTGGAAATCTGGCGGATCTGTCTGGCAGGTATATTGCGCGGCCGCATCATGGAAGCAAGCTCTGAGGAGCAAAGTCCATTGGCGAAGCGGTATAAGAAAGCTAGATCACCGATGGGATGCAAAAGGGTCCTGAAACTGTCCTTTAGAGAAGAGTCATATGTGTGTTTTGCCTAATATAGCCGAACTATTGCAGTGTTTTCGAGGAAACCACCTAAACAGTGACATCAGAGACTTATCTATCTGTAGCCGATAATCCGGTGTATGAAGTCAAATAGGCAGGACATAAAGCACGGAGCGTGTCAGATTTATACGGTCATCATTTAGAGGTCGGACGCAGGATTGTACGGTATGTGTATGACGAGTATATTTCACGCGGTCACCCATCAGACAACCAGATAACGGCTAAAAATGATGCGGCGATTATAAATTAGCGCTCATACGTGCAGTGTGTATCCTCGTATCGTCAATATACGAATTGTCGGCTATTAATCAACGAGGGAGTATATTCTTCAAATGTCAGCAGTATGCCCTAGGCTAGGTGATTGCGTTATGCCTCAAAAATGAACGTTCAGGAAAAAATTACTTCTGGAAATTTGGCATGGTTGTTTTAATATTGATACGATGCGTACTCAGTATGACTTAATGTCAATGATGATGCTCGATTCTTGTGACATTTCTATTCTTGGGGAGTGTTTTTATCATAAATATACCTATATGAAACTTAAAGTATATCCTGAGTCAAGAGTCTCTGAAAAAAATTAGTAAAGCACGATATACCTCTCTATTTTGAGATACTACTAATATATCAATTAATGTTTTTCAGAAGTTAACGTCCCGTTTGGAATACGAGTGATATGAGCTTATCTGTAGCAGTCTTATATCTACTGCGTCGTAGGATTAAGATCAGCTACTTATCCGTCTACCTCATAGAGTGATGATTCTCTTGATATTATTTTGTGAAGGTGTGCTGGGTAAATTTCCATAGTTGACAGAGCACTTTTTATTGATGTTAAAATTGAAAATGTTCGGTATGCATGTGGTACATAGTAGTTGCTATTACTTTGTTGACAAATATCCATCCAAATAGTTTTCCACTCCGAAATTACGTTTGTCTTGTATAAACTAAGTGAGTCTCTATACAATGGTGGTTTTTCTCTAGGTTCTGAAATAATGGCTGATGGCTTTGCAATCATGTCAGCGTTTGCATTGCCTTGTATACCAATATGGCATTTTACACAAATAAAGACATCTTGAGTACTTCTAAAAATAGCTCACGAATGCATCTAAGAATTTTGCAAATGACCGTGCTCTTTGTGACCAATTCTGGCAGAACACATTATAGTTTCTGAAAAGGACTGGTTTTTCATCGTAGGCGTTGTGCTTATAATTACATCTTTATGCTATTACTGTTCAAGGTATTTATCGTATATTTAGAGGATGAGGAAAATCATGGTTTGAGTAAAAAGAAACTAGAACTTAAAAGTGACTTAAGTAAAGCTGATAAAGCAGGTAGGAGGGATGCCTTTTAAGTTTTGCATATAGAAACATAGTAGGCCGCGCGGATCGAACGTCAGTACTGAATCTTAACCTCACTCTTTAGTAAACTTAAATTCAAACTTTCACAACAATACGTGCAGTGCTCTCACTACAGTGAATTTTTAAGTGTCGTCAAGTCATTAGAAAAATGGAAATTATGGCGAGAACATTTTCGCGACATAATTTATTACAACTTGCAGAGACAATTATCGCAACAAGCATGCCTTGCTGAGTTACTGTCTGTTTTCGGCAACGAAGCACCACATCAGTCGACAATTTCCCATTGGTATGAAGAATTCAAACGTGGACAGGTGAGTCTTAGCGACGATCCCAGGGTGGGTGCACCAAAAGCGGCAGTCACCCAGGAAAAAGTCGATGCTCTGCGCACACTCATCATTGAAGACAGACATGTGACATATCGCGAGATTGAGGCGTCCTTGAAGATCTCAAAGACCTCAATTCAAAAAAATTTACATGAGGAATTAGGAGTAAGAAAACTGGTTTCTCGTTGGATACCCCACCTGTTGACTGAAGAGCAGAAAGCTGCCAGGGTCAATTGGTGTCAAAAAACGCTAGACCGTTTCAATTCTGGAAACTCAACAAATGTGTGCAGCATTGTTAGTGGTGCTGAATCGTGGATTTACTGTTATGAACCAGAAAATAAACGACAGTCAGCTGTTTGGGTGTTCCAAGATGAAGTAAAGCCAACAAAAGTCATCCGTTCTCGAAGTGTTTCGAAAAAGATGGTCGCGACATTTGTGTCAAAAGCGGGTCATACTGCAACAATTCCCCTTAATGAGGCAAGAACTGTTACTGCGGATTGGTTATTATACTATCATTTGTTTGCCAAAAGTCATCACCGAGCTTCGAAAAATCAACCACGAGAGGAGAATCATCCTCCACCAAGACAATGCAAGCTCGCACACAGCCCAGAAACCAAGGCAGTATTTAACGGAAGAAAACGTGGAATTATTGGACCATCTTCCATATAGTCCCGATCTAATTCCTAACGATTTCTTCATTTTCCCGAAAATTAAAAACAGACTGTGCGGTCAAAGGTTCCAGTTACCAGAAGAAGCAGTTGACGCATTCAAAAATGCCGTTTTGGATCTGCCAGCAAACGAGTGGAATAAGTGCTTCGAAAATTGGTTCGAGCGCATGCAGATGTGTATTAATCTTCGTGGAAAATACTTTGAAAAACAATAAAGTCATTTAAAACTACCCACCGTGTTGTTTTATTTCCATAGGCAAAACTTAAAAGACATCCCTCGTAGTATATGAACTCAAGAAAAAAATGAATCAAAGATCCTGTTCCAGTAGTTTCAATTAATTTGTACAAAGCATCAAACTAATATAGTGCATCAGGGGTTCACTGAATAGTAAATCCAAAAGAAACTCAGCACCTAAGTTATGTACAATTTATTATTTACCATTTATAATTTAAAACAACGGGGGCCAAGCTGGTAGTGTATGATGTCCTCTATGTCCGAAGAAACCGTGAAATGTAATATAAACATTCAGTAAATTCCAACCCCAGGGTCTTGTCTGTATGATTTCTAGTTCCATCTCCACTATTACTTCCATTTAAATTTTATATTGGATACAGGAATTTCTGGGTGGTGCATGCAGCGTGAGTGCTTCATTTTCTTTGATTACGTTCACCAACTGCACAATTGAGCAACTATACTTCTTATGATGTTTAGGATGTGGGTCAAACGTTCACATTTTGATGACAGCTAGTGACAAAGGTTTGTCACATCTTAAGTGAGAGGGTGCTAGACTTGAGACCTAGGACATGATGGATTAGGGCATGGGATCTTGGAAACTAGAGAACCGCAAAACTCTCCACAATTCTGAAACTAAGCTTGAAAGATCTTGAAATATATAAATGGTCGTTTATTTGTATAGACGTATGCTGATCTTGCTAATATAGTTATGAACTATAACTTGCAAAGTACCGCGCGGTCTTTCAAAAAAAGTTTGGAATAAGGTTGCTGCTAGGTCAAGTGGGAGAATTAGTTTTTGAATATCGATCCAGTGTCGACAGAGTGACAGAAAAAATTAAAAAAATGCTATCACTACGTTTCTTGACGTTTCAGAGGCTAGGGGGCGACGGATGGTGCGTCTCAAATTTTTGGCCGTAATTCTACGCACCTATCGGAGATATTTCATTCATGGATTTCCATGTACATTTGTCCTTAAAGCTTAGAACAAATAAACAGAAAGAGAAGATAACCAAGAAGTGCAAAATAAATTTCTAAAATATCTATACTGTGTGAGTGATGGTGTCTATCCTCCAAGAGGAGATGACTGCTCATTATTATTGAATAGATTTGGTGTCCCTTCTTTGGAGAAGCGCAGACAGCATGAGCTGATCATATTTTTATACAAACTACTACATGGTAGCATCAACTGTCCTGTTTTGCTCTCACAAATTGATTTCCTGGTACCTAGATCGACATCCAAATATAAAGTCTCCTTTTTCTGCAAAAGGAGCACAGAGAAATTTTCTGTCTAAAGCATCAATCATTTCTATGTGCAATAATCCGAATAAGATTGGGAATTTTTGTGATATATTTTGTTGTGGATTTCAGGAATTAAGTGCCTTTATGGCCTCCTTGATTTTCACAGTCTTTTCTCACCTTCAGAAAGGCTGGAGTATTTCTAGATTTCTACTGTTCCGTGAGGCTATATTTTCTTTTTGAATTGCAGGGAATTTCAGGCTATATAACGTATGATATAAATCTAAAGCATGAACAATTTGATGCAAATAGATATTTGTAACATAACCTCAAAATAGAGCGCTGACATTGAACAGTAGAGAACTATCAAGGAGGCCATAAACGCATCCTAAAATACGAGCCCCTTCCCACTTCAGTTGGCCCAACTAATGAAATATTAGTTTTTTTCTTATCAAACACAAATAATAAAAATGTAGCAGGGTGCTATAGGTTTAAAATACTATCAATGAATATTTTGATAATATATAGTAGAAAAGACCAGCTTTATCACTCCCTAATCAAATTTGCAGCATAAAAATAACACATGTTGCAATTACAGCATATCAACCTATTTTCATTTCAATGCAAAATAAGTCTATAACGCATAGGTGGCTGTGAAAAATAAAAGCCATGACAATTGTTTTTATTAATCACAGCTGTCAGAATACGTTTAAAATAGTTTTGTGTAGTTAAGGTTTTCAAAATGGGTAGAAGAAATGTTATTAGTGAGAAAATTTGGTTACTGATAAATAATTTTTTTAATTCTGGGAAATCAGACTCAGAAATTGCAACTTTGTGCGACTTATCGCGGTAGAGTGTGAGAAATATTGTTAGAAGGTATAACGTAACTGGTTCAGTTAATATTAAGCCACAATATGTGAAAAAAAGTAATATCACAAATGCCGACCGAAGAGCATTAAGAAGAATAATCGTGAAAAACAGGCGTGCCAATTATTTACAATTAGGTGTCTGTGGAGTGACGCTGTTCGAAGGAGAATTTCGAGGTCCACAACTCATAGAGAGGCCCACAAATTGGGATTTAGCACTTGCAAGGTAAGTATTCTTATAAAAAAAAAGTGAAGTAAAAACTCTAAAGTTGCACAACTTGTTTATAGGCCAAAGAAAAGCCAATATTAACTCCACTGCAAAACAAAAATCGTCTTAGATGGGCTAAAGAAGATAGACAATGGACAGCTCAACAATGGTGTGCAATACAATGGAGTGATGAGGCCCGATTCGAAGTTTGTGTTAGTGACAGTCGCAGTAGAGTTATTCGCAAAAAGAATGAAGCATTCCATGTTGACTGTCTGACGAGAAAAGTGAAATTTCCAGCATCCATTATGGTCTGGGGCAGTATGTCATCAAGAGGAGTAGGAAAAGTTCATTTTATTGATGGAAATGTGAATATAAACAGATATTTTGCAATTTTAGAAGAATCGCTTTTACCAGTGATGGAAGAATGTTTGACATCCGGCCAAGATTTTGTGTTTCAGCAAGATGGTGCAGCGTGCCATACCTCAAATAAGGCTATAAAATGGATGGAAGAAAATGATGTACCACTTTTGAAATGGGTTTCTAGCAGTCCAGATCTGTCATTGAAACTTTGTGCCACGAGGTGAAAAAGGTTCTACGACAACATCCTGCTCGCACAATCACCGAACTGAGACAAAAGCTTCAAGAAATATGGGATTGTTTTACACCAAATTTTTGCCAAAACTTGGTTAGCACTATGCCCCAAAGAATTTCAGCCGTAATAAAAAATAAAGGTGATGTTACCTAATGGTAATTTTTCAATTGTTGCTTTGTTACCTTCGCGCATTTATTCGCACATTGTTTATTTGTTCAGATGTTCTATTAGTTATAGGTCTAAGTGATTTCAAATATGTACCTACTTTTAACGACTAGAGTGTATCTAAAATGTTTTTGAGAAAATAAATTGTTTTAGAAGTAAATAGTTTCGTCATGTTTAGTTTATAAAGACATATTTTGGTAGAAATCTTGAAGTGGGCCAACTGAAGTGGGAAGGGGCTCGTAATTACAGGAATGACTGACAATACGACCCTAAAAAATGTTATAAGCTTAATCTTTGGCTTTTTTACCCCTTTCTTCAATTGTTTTCGTTTGTTATATATTTATGTGTTTCTTTTCACTCTACTTAAACGTTGGGCAATAAATGCCTCATTATTAAATCGCAAGGGATGCTGAGTGCATTGACAGCCCATCACCTTGAAGGCTAGCAACTCAGATATGGGCGTCCATAAACAAATTTTCAGGGAGACCGATTAGACATTGGCAAGAGGAAACTTTCAGTATATTATAATTATACAAAGGGTTTTGCAATATGACTTAGCAAACGGACGCAGGAGGGTGCATGTTACTGCATGTTGAGACATGTCCATGAGTGCATAGTAACCGCCAGCAGCACGTCTGTTGATTTAGTTGTTCATTCGTATTGACAATGTAAAGTGCGAACTATGGCATCGTGAGATAAGTGAGATAAGTTCAGTTTTACGGTATACCTTTAAGCGTGGTTTAAGCATAGACCAGTGCTTAGAAGAAATGATGCTTATATTCAAGAATGATTGTCCTTGAAGGAGCAACTTCACTCTGGAGGACGCTGAGAGGGAAGGAAAGCAGCGAACGTCAGTAACAAAGGAAAACATTACTGCTGTGTGGAAAATGCTTGACGAAGACCGGAGAGTGACATACCAACAGATAGAGGAGACCTTACACCTTCATGCAACAGCAATTCATTTAATTCTGCATGACGGAAAACAGTTTTCTAGAGATGAGTTCCTTTTGAGAGCTTGGAACAACGAGTGTGCCGCACTCCCGAGTGAAACTTGGCAAGCTGATTTAAGGACTGGTTTTGGCGGATAGAAGAACGAAGTCGATAAATAAAGCTTCATTGCAAAACTTTTATAGTGCCGTTTGTATATAAGCCCCAAACATTTATCAGGAAGACCGGGTAGCATATTTCCTCAATGAGAGCCAAGTCTTAAGAATTCTAGATATGGGACGTTAAATTACGTTTAATAAGCAAATTTTAGGAGGAAGCTAAATTCCTAGGGGAGGTTGTTTGTTCAGGGCGACTGGATACTCATTGTGTGACATGATCCATTGAATTCATTTGTACCTACTGGACGCCATTTTTTGAATGTTTCATCTCCAGGGTGGCCGTGATTAAAACTTGTTACGCGTCTCCTTGGCAACCATCCAGCAGCATCGGCAGCATAGAGGTGTTGCGTTGCTAATTGAGAGATCGCAATTCGGTAGGCTGGCTCGAAGTAGAAGCGACAAGACACCGTCGGACTGCAAAGTATATAAATATTGTCGCGTCGGCGACACGGCCATAGCTTGCTATGATTAAACGGTTCGCCAGTTGCCACCGGTTCATGGATTTATGAGCGCCTTCTGGATACGCGACGAAGAATGTTAGGATGGATTTTCAAGTGCTTCAGAGACTTTTCGGCGGCGTTAAAAATCTGACGACGAGCAGATTAACTTAGAACCTGTAGGGCAAAATTTCCATTTTTGTTTCCCGTTGTCAGAAGGGAGTGGAAGGAATAGAGTTGAGCTTGAGGTAAAAAGTAGTCGTCAGGTTCTACGCGTAGGTACTTGCGCTAGGTTAGGATCCGAATCGGAGTCTTCGCACCACATTTACCTGAGAAACAGCTTTTTGTAAAGATCTCAGATAATCATTATTTTCTTATATTAGGAGGCAATCCAAATGATGAAGGTCACAGAAAATGTATCGTATCGGGAAGCCAAGAGAAAGGTAAAAGTCAGTACCCCAAGTATAAATATATCTTACCCGAAAGCGGCTGCCCAGCCAACATCT